AAGAAAAAAAAAAACTTATGCTGCCACTTCAAAAAAAAAATTAAAAAAAAAAAAAACTTTCAGAGTCGAGCTTTTGGCCGAGAAGTTAAACGACGAGTTGAGTTCAAGTTCATTTGTTGGGCTCGATTGGAGCTCGAGCTCAAGTTTGAGCCAATTTTCTAGCTGACGAGTCGAGCTCGATAAGGCTACTACTCGACTCCTTTAAAATCCTAAATATATGCAATTCTTTCAATGTAGATCCTAACGTGACACCTGGTTGCCATTGTTATGAGCTTTCAAAAAAAGAAAAAAAAAAAACGGGTTGGATTCGAGACAAGCAATTTCATGTCAAGTCAAACTCAGACCCAATCTGTTATTCATAATTGACACATGCCCCTAATCACAATCATAAAATATAATTAAAATAAACCCTAATAAATTATTGCAAAAGGGATCTAAGAGAATAAAAGTGGAAGAATAATTTTTAGGTCAATTTAACTCTAAGTTCAAAAATTGTTGCAAAAGTAAAGTAACTAACAAATGAAAAAGACTTATTGCAGTTGATTTTAACATAATTCTAAGACAATCACAATAACATTAAAGTTGAAGAAATTTCTAAGTAAGAAATTCAAAGAAGAAGTACTAAAATAAAATAGCATTATTGCAAGCAATTTGTCTTTATAATAACAACTTTAGTAATTTTGGAAGTCCTCCAAATTAAGGAAGTCCTCATCTTCAACAAGAACCACAAAAGAATAAGATCAGGTCGAGCAACTTATATTTTCATTCATAAGCAATATAATTTCTTTGTAAAAATAAGAAGAAGAATGAAGAAGAAGAAGAAAGGAGAAATAGATGTTAGGGAAACAAACAAAAAGATAAAATAAATAATGGAGAGTGGAGACCACAAAGAGTCATAAAAAGAATAAAAACAAGGAGAGAGAGATGTTCACCACATATGATGATATATATTTTATAATTATTTATGTTGTCAAAAATATATAATATTCCAAAATAACTTATATTAGGCCAAATATAAATATATTTTTTCTTATTTATTAAATAAATTGAGCAAAACACTATTTAAATGAGCTCAAATTAGCCTACTTCCATACACCATGTATAATAAATGCTTTTGGTATATTTTAAATAAAAATAATAATACTTTCTAAGAGATTGTTTGGTTTAATAAAAAGGCAGTGTGAAGTATTCCAAATATAAATATTATAAAAATTGGGGTGTTTGATTTGATGAAAAAGATAAGTGGAGTAAACTTTTGGTTAATTACAAATTTCGTAGTTTATTTTTGATGTATTCTGAATTCAGTTGTTTTCCATTTAATTCTGATTACATCGTAGGCTAATGCCTCCATCGTCCATCTCCAATAAAAGGTCCCTCTCTTGGAGCGAGTATGGCCTACTTATAGATCTTTGTGAGTGCCACTCTCTGTAAATATATAAAAGATCTAAGGTATGTTCGGAGTGCTCCATCAGATAACCCATATTGATTCCATCAATCATAGAGTATTTTTCAAGCATATAAGTGTCTTAATGATGTTAGAATTAAGCGATCTTGGGATCGTTGGATTCTTATAGTCAAGCCACTCGATTTGACTAGGATAATGTCATATCTAAATATCATTTAGTCATCCAATTAATGCTTTGAACATTCTAAATATTCTTCGGTCCATTGAGTTTGACTCATTTGGACTTAGATTGGACCGATTTTAATGTCGTTGGGCACGCATCCTTGAGATGCTCGGTTTGATTATAAGTTTGTTGAAATCGAAGTTCGAATTGTCCCGAATTTAATATTGCAAGTTATGAACTTGAATATGCCTGAAAATTTGTGCTTAATCAAGACAGTTTTTTGTTATGTATCAGGTGTAAAGCATTTCAAATGTCTAGGTTTTAAAAATATTGGTGTTTGGTTTGAAGTAAAAGAAATGCAAACTAAAATTGAAGTATCTTAAATTCACCCTCTAATTCAATTTTGGTTTATTTGGAAATAGCTCTAGATTTGTTATTTTTTTCAAATACACTGTAGATTCTCTATCATTATCGCAATCATTATTAGTTGTCGTTGCCGCTTCATAACACCACCCTTTACTGTCGTATGAATCCACCATGCATCATCGACCACTACATGTAGCATGTCGCTTGCCATGATCATCGCGTCCACCATCATCATCTACCACTTCTGTCAATTGCCACTAACCACCACTCTCGGTAACAACCCGTCATCACCACCTCTTGCAATTAGCATTCTCAGTAGTTGTCAGCTATCGATCATCATCCTATTTATAATTTATATTATATTCATTTTTTTTTTTTTGGGAATTTTTGGGGCAAAGCCCTTTCATATATGAAAAAGAATACAAGTAATGTAAAAAGCATAAACTATAACTCCTAATCTAAAAACAGAGATTAGGAGTTCTAAAGAAGCAAAATACAAGACCAAAAGGACCGCTAAGGCATAAGCCTAAAGGACTCAGGACGTTCTGGCGTCAGGAATTGGACTGTTTCTCGATCGGGTCTGGCCAGAACGAAGAACCCATGGTTGTCAAAATGACCATCCAAGGGGTAGCTGAAAAGATCAGCATTCATCATTGTCCTTTCAAAAATCCCATTCAGGCTACCTGCATTCTCGACAAAATTTACAGGCGCCTCAAAAACAGCTTGCAAGAAACCCAGTAGCAAGAACTTTAGGAACAAAGTCCATAGGACTTCCAGCACACCTAGGAACTCAGAAATGCATCCAGCCATGAGTTTGAGAAATATAATTTTTCTAATCTTGACAGTAACCGTCTCCTGACTATCAATAATTTCACCATACAACCGCTCGTTTCTAGCTCTCCAAAGGTGGTAAACATAGGCAAAGACAGAGAGCAAGTAATAAAGTTTCAGCTGATTGTTAATACTTTGCTCATAAATGCTGTCATAAACTTGATATATATTTGGTTTCAACAACTGGGAATTCATCCAGGGGAGCAAGTTTTTGATAACATTAAAGATGAAATTGCAATCAAAGAAAAGGTGAGACTAGAACATCATCAGTTATATTATATTCATTTTACTTCAAATCAAATAAATAATAATAACTTATATTCATCTAAATAATATTAAATATTATAAATGCATTATATTTAATTTTTAAAATATTTTTTTTTTTTGGGACATTTAGGCCATTTAAGGCAAATTCACACACACAACACATACACATGAACTCGAACTTTGAACCTCTTAGTTGGAAGCCTAAGCTCTCAACCAATAGGCCAAGGAGAGTTGTGTTAAAATATTTTCCAGCATATCATATATTTCACTGTACTCTGTATTCCATCTTCAACCAATCAAAACAGCCCATATCTCGAACACCTCTCCGGCGCTGAAAAGTGATAAAAGTTTATCATATAAGATATTCGCCTGTGCCGATTTGACGATACGATGTCACACTAAAGCCAAACGTATCCCAAAGTTTCATGCAAGCGATTGCGCCGGACCGGCGCAATCGCCACCGGTGGGAAGCCCGATGGCACGACTTTTGAAGCTGACTCTTTCCCACGTGTCTTTTTATTGAGGGAAATTACGTGTCTTTTTTTCTTTCTTTCTATTCTTGAAAGGTTTTTTTTTTTCATGTACATGATGTGAGTTCTATTTTATTTTAAGGAAATTTGCGTGCATACTATTTTATTTAATATTATTTATATATTTAATATCTCATTCATATAAAATTTTAATATTAAATATATCACTCATATATTTTATTCTTATCACACATAATATCTTATAAATTTTTAAATGTTAAATATGTTAAATATGTAAATTTTAAAATTTTAAATGTTAAATATGTAAATTAAGGATGTCAATTTGGGTCAACGAGTCAGGTTTGGATCAATCCCGATTTGATCGGGGCATAAACGGGTCGCCCTAGAGCAGGTCCTGTCGTAGGCCGAAGGTCAAGGTCATGAGTTAGCCGGATTAGCCAGGTCGAACCGTTAGTTTTTGATTCAACTCGAACCCGACTCATTTTTCATACATGTAAAAAATCTAAACCCGAACCAGAGCCGTTTTACAAATGGGTTCACCCGAATCTAATTTTTTATGAGTCAGGTCTGAATCGGATTTTGAGTCGTGTCAATTTTTGACACCCCTAATATAAATAGCATGAAATAAAGTGATATATATGTAAATCCCCCTTTATTTTATTAGGTCATTCTTTTATTTCATTGTGCATCAACTAAAAATGCTCAATATATAAAAAAAAACTGATTATAATTGAGAATTATTCGAATTATTTTTCTCTAAATGATATTACAATCACAAAGCTTAATGCACTTAGATTTTTGTTGATGAATTGTTCTTTAAAAAAATGATTAAAACATTAATTAATATAAATCTTTATAAGGTGAGCAAAAGAAAGCTTTGTAGATCTTAAATTTAAAATAATAATAATAATAATAATAATAGTGACCCAAAATAAAAAAATAAAAAAATCACAGTTATTCAAGGAATTATTTTCTTAAAACCTCTAAATAAATAAATATAAGATTTATTTTTCAACTTATCCACCGACAGAATATTAATGCATGAAAATCGATTCAATATTAGTAATTGACCGTTATTCTTCGTCAACTTCAAGGATATTTTTACCAATGTAATATAATTTTAATTAATTTTTTATTTTATATTTAATTTAAAATAAATTAAATGATTTCAATATTATTCCACTATAAAAAGTAAAGTCTAAATTTATCAATCCATAAAACTATGATATATGAGTGTCAAAATAGGTTACATGACCGACCCATTTAATAAACAAGTCAAAAAAGAGGACATTTAGTCTAAGCACTTATATATATATATATATATATATAACATAATTTAATATTATTTAAATATGAATAAAAAATATTATAAATTAATGATTTATATTTATTATGATTAAAATTCAGTGAAGATGTAATTATTTTTTCATTTCCTAAAATACGATAGTCAAACAGAAACCATCGGGAACACGGAATTAGCGAGGCGTTAGTAAGTTACAATTGGAGGGCAGAGGTGGGTCCCGCCTCCTTCGTCCCCACCCTTCCTCACATCAATAATTGTTCTCTCCACCTCTCTCTCTCTCTCTCTCTCTCTCTCTCTCCTCTGATTCCTCCGCTGAAACTTTTCTGCAAGATTTTAACAGAAGAGGGAGGCCAACCTCGTCCAGGATGCTCGACCGAAGCCCTTTTCGTCTTCTCTCCACCCTCCTCTTCCTCCTCTCCGTCTCCGCCGTACACACGGGAGATGCATCACTGGAGACACCGACGAGCGCTTACGAAGTTCTCCGCCTGCACGGTCTCCCGATCGGACTTTTCCCTAAAGGCATCCAAGACTTCCGCATAGGCAACGATGGCCGATTCGAGGTGCATTTTCCGGAGGAATGCACGGTGAAGTTCGAAACGGCGATCCGCTACGAGCGCAACGTCACCGGAACTCTCTCATACGGCCAGATCGCCGCCATCTCCGGCGTCACGGCAAAGGAGCTCTTCCTCTGGTTCCCTGTTCGAGTTATCCGCGTTGATATCCCCAGTACTGGTGTCATCTACTTCGACGTCGGTGTTATCTACAAACAGTTTTCCCTCTCCCTCTTCGAGACTCCTCCCGATTGCTGCCCTACTTGCCGCGACCGAATTCTTCAGGTACTCAAATTCCCCTTACATTCCCCTTTTTCCCTCGATCTCACTCGATATCCATTTCTGCTGATCGATTAATGGATTGGAGCAGCGTGATCGCGATGAGGAAGATGGCGTGAGGGCAGTGGTATGAATTCCAATGTGTGGAGTCTGGAGAGAGTTCTTCCTTTCATTCGCTGTGAGCAGGGCGTTAGGGATCGCTGCTAGGGTTGATTCGATTTCTGAAGCTGAGGTGTGTTTGTGTATATTGAGTCTGTGTGCTTGCGATGTGGTACAGAGATCAAATTTTGGCCGCGTTTCGGTCTCGCCGGAGTTCTCTGCAGGGAAGCCGAAGAGATCGTCCAGAAGCTCGAGAGGGAAAACGCTGAAAGGAAGAGCAGTTGGGTTTGATGGCTGTAATTTCCGTTAAAATATAAAGGATTTACATTTCTTATATATTTGTATATTTTATGTTTACATTATTTGTTTATTTATATATTATTTTAATTATTAAATGATATTGAAAATGTGAATTTTATTTTCAATGAGTTAATTGGTTATAATTTATATATATTAAATCTTTGTAATTTTTATATCTTTAGATCTTAAGATAGGCTTCAAAGCTAATTGATTTGCCTTAAGATTGGTGTAATATATAATATATTGAATTACACCAATTTTAAAGAATCAAATTCAGGTTTCGTTTGGGACAATTTTCTTAATGCTTTTTAAAATAGTATTTTAGTTAAAATTTTCTTGAATTAGAATTTTTGGTACTAAAAAATTGTTTTAGGAAGCAATAAAAAAGTTGTCCAAAACGAAACCTCATTATGATGTGTTTTGCATTAGAATATCCTGAAATTAAAAAAAAAAAAATTAATGTGATTTAGGCTTCATTTGGGACGTCTTTCTTACTGCTTCTTGAAAACACTTCTTAATACAAAAATTTAATTTTTTATATTAAAAAACTACTTTAAGAAGCACTAAAAAAGTTGCCCCAAATGAAGCCTTAATCTTCATTTAGGATAGCTTTCGTACTGCTTTCTAAAGCAACTTTTTAGTACAAATTTCTTGAACTAAAAAAAGTTATACTAAAAAAATACTTCATAAAGCAATAAGAAAGCTGTCACAAACGAAGCTTTAGGTTTCATTTGGGATGGCTTTCTTACTGTTTCTTGAAGTAAATTTCTAATAAACAGATTAAAAGTTTTGTACTAAAAAGTTGTTTTAAGAAACAGTAAAAAAATCATCTTAAGAAGCCTTAGATATTATAGCATTATATTGGTAAATATAATGATATAGGATCTACATGAAGCTGTCGTTGTAGTTTTTTATAAATATTTTAAGTTGAATAATAACTTTATCATAAGCAAAGCTAATCGATTTGCTTTAAGATTGGCCTAAGGGCATCTCTAATGCAGAACTCCATTTTTCACGGCAAAATACAGCAAACTTCCAAAATGTCATGGTGCTGCTCCAATCGGACGTCATTTTATGTACTTCTGCGAACGTAACGATCCTTCTCCCTTTCACGCGTTTTCCGGTTGAGAGTGCAAAATAGCGTAGGTGAACGGTGGGACGCCAATATTGGCGTCTCACTGTTCACCCACAAGTAAAATGGCGGAAGATTTGGCGTTCGGCTGGAGCGACCGAACGACAACATACGCTCGTTTGACGTTCGGTTGGAAATGCTCTAATATATAATATATTGAATTACACCAATTTCAAAGAATCAAACTCAGGGTTCGTTTGGGACAACTTTCTTAATGCTTTTTAAAATTTTGTTTTAATTAAATTTTTTTTAATTAGAATATTTGGTACTAAAAAATTGTTTTAGAAAGCAATAAGAAAGTTGTCCAAAACGAAGCCTCGTTATGATGTGTTTTGCATTAGAATATCCTGAAATTAAAATTTTTTTTAATGTGATTTAATCTTCGTTTGGGACGGCTTTCTTGCTACTTTCTAAAGCAACTTTTTAATACAAAATTTTCTTGAACTAAAAAAAGTTATACTAAAAAACTATTTCATAAAGCAATAAGAAAGTCGTCCCAAACGAAACTTTAGGTTTCATTTGGGACGGCTTTCTTACTGTTTCTTGACATAAATTTCTAGTAAACAGATTAAAATCTTATACTAAAAAGCTGCTTTAAGAAGCAGTAAGAAAGTCGTCCTAAGAAGCCTTAGATATTATAGCATTATATTGGTAAATATAAACATATAGGATCTACATGAAGCTGCCTTTGTAATCTTTTATAAATATTTTAAGTTGAATAATAATTTTATCATAATTAAGCATATAAATCTCCTAGTTTTTTTGTTATTTAAAAATTAAAAATATTAAATCACCCATAAAAATTTTAGTTTTATGTCAGTATATAAGAATTTGCAATTAATAAGGTCACTAAGCATCTTCGTAATTATAATTTTTTCTATATATTTTTCTTGTATTTTTTAAAATTAATTAATCCAGGTTTTTTAAAGCTTAAATTGGCCTTCAAATAAGAGTTTATATTAAAAAAAATGATAATTTATAATAAATTAAAAATTTGAATATGTAACTAAAATTATATTTATTTTTATCGTAATTAATTGGAGGATAAAGATCAAATTCCATCAATTCCATTGTGAGAAAAAAAAAAAAAAAAAAAACTCTCCAAAAGGTCTAAGGAACACTAATGCTTGACTCCACCCATGCAAATAATTAGTATTAGGTTTGAAATCCTTCTGCTCAATAATAGAGTTGCATTATAAAAAATATCATTACTTATGTTTTAAAATAAGTATATACAAATACATTAAAATTTTATTTCAGTGATGTTTTCTTACTGTTTCTCATTATTTATCAGAAATTTCTATGATAGGAAGCTGCTTTTTATAACCTATCAATAACTATCAATTTACATCAAAGCTATCGAAACTAAGGGTTCCTTTGATACAACTTTCTTCCTGCTTTCTAAAGCAGCTTTTTTTAACAAAAATTTCAAGTTCAAAAACTTGTTGTGCTATAAAACTGCTTTAAAAAATAGTAAGAAGACTGTCTCAAACAAGAACTTTTATTAGGTTAGGACACCTGACGTAGCTCTACATCCGGATGCCAATAAAATATTGCCACGTGCTCTTACTCTTTACCACGCGGCCCGACGACCCAGCTCGGACCGGAACCCAATATTGCTATGTATTAGCTGATTTGTGCAAACCAGGGTATAGCTCGGTATTGCTCGGTAACGAAAAATACCATTCTATCAAGACCAATACTTAGCAATACCGAGCAATACCCCAGTTTTGCCAGGTATCGCTACGTATTGGTAGGTATTGCTCGGTATTGGTCTTGAAATAGCAATATTTCTCGTTATTGTCAAGCAATACTATGCAAATACCGAGCAATACCTAACAATACACAAACATAGTAATACCGGGTTCCAGTACGGGTCAAGTCGTCGGGCCGCATGATAAAGAGTAAGAGCACGTGGCGACATTTTATTGGTCTCCGGATGTAGAGCTACATCAGGTGTCCTGACCTAATAAAAAGTCCTCAAACAAAGCTTAATTTAATAGATGTATGCTTATAATAGATCTTGAAACACTATGAGCACTTCATATAAAGCTTACTCTGCTATGCTAAGTACATAAACATATATCGCATTAACCAGTAAGCAATTTAACCGAGCAATATTTGAGAATATAAACAAGTAAAGTGCCAGTAATAAAAAAAAATGTTTTGAACATTTAGGAGTCGTTTAGGACGGCTTTCTTATTGCTTTTTAAAACAATTTTTTAGTAAAAAAATTTATTGAAAATTATTTTATAAAATAAAAAAAAAAATCGGCCCAAATGAAGAATCAATTACACAAATGATTTTAATTTGGTTTGAAAAGCAGAAAAGGGGTATCCAATGGCTAATTCATGTTTGAGCAGAAGATAAAATTGGAAGCATATGATATTTTTAATAAAACATAATAAATTCATTTAGAGTTCAAATTAAGGTTTCATTTGGGATAACTTTCTTATTACTTCCTAAAGCAGCCTTCTAGTACAAAAATTAAAAATTTTATACTAAAAAATTGCCTTAAGAATCGGGTTATGGTCAACCCGTTTGAACCCGGGTCCGTTCCGGGTCCGACCCGAACCCGACCCGTGACCCGAAATTGACACCCCTAATAGGTAGTACTTGGCAGCGGTCAGTGATTGGAAGTGGATGCAGATTATGGCTGGTGGCGATAGCTGGCGACAATGAAAAAAAATTACGATGTATTTGAAAATCGATCAAACCTAACGAATTTCATATTCACCGAAATTGAATTAGATGATGCATTCTAAATACACCAAACATTTACTCTGTATTTCCTTACTTCAAACTAAACACCGATATTTTCAAAACCCTTACATTTGAAAAATTTTACACCCATTTTACTTCAAACTAAACAACTCTTAAATGCATGTATATATTTTGTTTAGATGCATGTATATATAGTAACCATAAAATGTAAAAGAAATAAATAAAAACTCTAGGACTATTAAAAAAAATATTAAATATAAAATTGATATTTTTATTTAACATAATTATACACAGTTAACTCATTTTTGGCAAATTCAATGCTTTATATGATTCATGTGAAATCATAAAAAATTGCTAATATGAGAAGCATTTAATTATAATAATTATTGGCATTCAAAGTAATTTGGTCAGTTGAATTCAATTAGACCCTTTGACCCATTTTAGCCCAAATGGACTTATTTAACCCTATCAAACCAAAATCATAAAATTGGTCAAATTAATTGAACCTAAGGCCTTAGAAAAATTTCATTAAATAATCCATACATGAATTTCTCTCAATTAGCCAAATGGCTAACTAAACACAATTTAACCAAATTGATCCCTTAGGCCAAATTGATCAGTTTAGCTAATTTGACAAATTTGAGCTAAGCCCAAATTTAAAAACTTTTAATTAATTAATCAAAGGTGGCTTGAGATTAAATGCCTTAATTAAGCTTAAATTGGCTAATTAGCTTACTTGGCTCAATTTGACTCAAGTAAAACTATTAGGCCAAATTAGCCAATTTGGTCAAATTGCCTTGAACCAAACCTTATATGAAGAACTCACCCGTTGCACGCGTAGAAGTTGTCGCTTGGACCTCGCAATTCACTGAAGCTGAACCTGCAAGAAACTTAGAAAACCAAAAACAATAGAACAATAGTTCTGAGAGAGTAATTCTTTTTGTATATATTCAGTATAATGCCCTTTTGTGTTTATATATGAGTGCCCCTCTCTACTAGGTAACTAACAAAAAGAAACATAGTGTGTGGTATCTTGTGCCTGCATAATAGATTAGTTCTCATCAGGCCTCCCCGTCTTCAGAAGAACTCGCTTCCGGCGAGGTTAAAATGGTGTTTGCATCATCAGGAGGATGGTAGAGGTGGATATCTGACATATTGAAAGTGGACGAAGTCTGAAT